TTTCTGCACAATTTGGCTAAAAACTTTTGCGCTAAAGTCGCTATTTTTACCCTACTGATATGTATGGCTTACCAGTAACTTTACCACAAGTTCATTTTCTTTAAGAAGATTGTTTACATCCTCAAGGTCATCATCGTTTGTTATCGGGAAGTTGTTGGTCAAGTCTATCACTTTCGATAACACTTCGGGGTCCGGAGGGACTTCCGCTGCTGGAGGTTTTGAAACATTCGCTGCACTTTGCTGGATAACCAATTGTTGTTGTTGTTGCTTTGCCAGCGCCTCCTTAAACATGGATTCAATCTCTTCTAGTTTGCTCATAACAGCTTTATTGGCTAGCTTTCGCTCAGTTTTCTGAGCCTCTTGATGTTCTGAAAATAAAGAGGAAGAAGAAAGTAAAGTATAAGACAATCTGATATGAGGCTAGTTATTCAAGCACACCAAAAAAGTTTCATATTAATCACTCTCGATATTTCACACAAATTTTTCACAGGCAATTTTGGTAAAAATTCAAAAGGTCTCATAAATTTCAATTTTCTTTTTCAAACTTCATTTAAGTACGTTTGTTAGATTACTATCATCACTTACTTACAAGTTCTTTGACGTTGGATCATAATTGTTTCAACTCCCTTATAGCTTATTCTTTTCATTTCAGTCTCGTCTTGGGACAGCATGGCTGCCATGGCAAGCCAAAATAAACTCAAAATTTGAAACCTATTCTTCTTTCCAGTGAAGTTAACAACGTGTGTTGAATCGTTTTTGTAAATACTTTTCATATCAGTACAAAAGTATATACCTCTCTTTTCTATTTCGTGCAAAGTCTAAAAACGTTTGACTGACATCTTTCAAACATTTAACATGAATAGCCCAGTTTATTGCAGTGTTTCTGCTGATATTTTATTAATTTATTTTTCTTTACAAGGGACCTTGTCATGACGTGCCTTGAAATTTTCAATTAATTTCAATATCCGCATGTAGAAAATGTTTGGAAAATTTCACAATGATTCTCTCAACAGTTTGTCTGTCAAACATTGAAATATGAGAAGAAATGCAGCAATGCACTTGCAGAGTTGCAATATTTCGTGAGGAAATGAAATTTTAAATTTTCGAGGGAATAATTTTGAGAAATTTAAGGAAAATATAAGGATGAAATAAAATATTTTGTGAAATTAAAAATGAAAGGCAAATGATTACTGTTCTTCTAGTGTTTTTCAGTTCAAGTTGCATACCCAGCCCCTGTGAACATGCTTCATATTTTTCACACCTCTGTGTTCTCCAAAACAGGAGAAAAGGTTGAGGGAAAAAGCACTAACTAATTAAAAGATACTTACTGGACAGCAGACAGAAATATTTTCCCATTGGGTTTGTGTCATTCACTTCCTTATAGTAACAAACGTGATACCTCCCCGGACAAGGGCACATTGAGGTGGGGTCAGTGCCACCAGAATTGCCGGAGTTGCTGGAAGTGCCGGAATTGCTGGCTACGTGGCTATCCTCTGAGGTCTTCAATTTGAGCGGAGGGTAAAAGAAGGGCTCCGCTTCCTTTTTTTTTTTATGCCGGGGTTGCTTAAGCAGCGCATCACTCTCTTCTTGCAGGTTCCTCTTATTGGTTTTACGAACCGCATCTTTTATGCAGGCATCATAAGAGGCTGGAAACAAACAAGAAGAAAAATGAACGCGAACATCGAAGGAAAAAGAGAAGAAAGACATACCCAAAAGAATGTCGAGTGAGTGACCTCTGAAGTGCTTATTTGTGATTTGAAATGACATTGCTCATAATTCTTGGACTCTGTCATCTTCTCGATTTTCTCTGCGAGGTTCTTTTGACCTCTGCGAAATCTTAACACCACAAGTGCCGTGAAAACAGGCCTATTTCAGAAGGTGATTAAAATTGGCTGTAGTGTTGAATCAATGAAATTAAAGGAAATAAGGATTTTAGAGCTAAAAAAATAGTAGGAAACATGCAGAAAATGCCCATGGATCCGGGCACGTGAAAATGTGTAAAGCCCCTGAAAAATTAGAAGGAGGGGGAAATTGAAACTGCCAAATGTTGAAAGTCAAAGGAAAGACGTGGAAAAAGAACTTTTTTTTTTTTTTTCCCCTTTAGATTGATAGGAAATTTTGTAGAGAGCTGATG